GAGAGAGAGAGAGAGAGAGAGAGAGAGAGAGAGAGAGAGAGATATTTTGTGAGCAAAAGAAATGAATACTGTAGCTTAAGGTCTCAGGGCTAAATCTTTCTCCTCTCCAGTACAAAATTACTGCAACCGCATCTCACTCTCCCGACTGCTGACCCATCTAACTCTGCTCTTTATCATTTACTTATTTGTCTCATTTTTTTCAGACTGATATTTATGGACTGGCAAAGAAATGTAACTTAACAGAGCGCCAAGTTGAAAGATGGTTTCGGAGGCGGCGCAATCAAGAGAGGCCTTGCAGGTTGAAGAAATTCCAGGAAGTTTGGTGAGTAGGACCGTCACAGCCTTCAGAGCGCTGCAGTGCCTTCTGGAACAGGGCAGCCATCTCTGGCAGAATGCAGCCATCGGAGTGCAGGGAGGGCTGCAAGCCAGCGTCCATGTCCCACGGGGGTTTCAGGCTCATTGCTCCTGAATGTTGTGCTTCTGTTCTCTGTGAAATGGGCCAGCTATGAGTTCTCTTAAGGTGAACACGAGACATTAAGTACTGAGCCTGAAGACCAGAAAACTCATGAGCATGTCTTCACTGGTGTTTTTCTTTTTACCACTTTATTCCAGCAGTTTCAGTTCTTACTGTCTCCAGTCATTTCGATTGTGAGAGCAGAGGTTGTCTGAGAACATGTCCTAGAGTTCTCAGCTCAGAATGCCGCCTGGAAGGTCTCTATATGTCGGATTTGACTCACAAGCCCTGGTCTTGCCTGGAGGTTGCCCGGCTTGCGCCTCTTGGATCCCAGGTGGCTTAGCTCAGGGTCAGAATGGGCTGGAGCCTCCAGCTGCCCACCAAGGAGGCTGCCTTGAATACAGTCTGGAGGGCAGAGCAGGTGCATTGGGTTTAGTTTGAGTTTCATTTGAATTCTACTCCCCCCCCCCGCTGTGTAATAATAAAATCACAGCATTTTGACCACTCTTGGTGACAGAATGACACTTGTGCCCGACGGGTGGATGAGGCCACGGCTGTGACTTTATTTCATTCCAGATGAATGGGTTTTAATGCGTTGTGTCTGATGCTGCGCTCTACATGCCAGTGTCACCTTTCTATCTGTTTCCTTTTTTTTGTTGTTGTTGCAACCGAGGATTGAACTCAGGTCCTTGCACTTGCCAGGGAAGCACTTATTCTACTGAGCCATCTCCCTGGCCCCATCTGTTTCCTAAGACCCTGGTGTTCCCTAGTGACTTCTACCAGGTACTTTTATTTTGCTAATGAAGTGAATGGCTGCCTAAAGTAAGGCAGTCAGAGCCTGTGGTTAAACTTCAGTGACTACCTTTGCTTGTCCTGTACCTTCCTGAGAACTGTAATCCAGTGTGGCACTCTGAGCTGGCCTGGGCTAGAGGGAAAGACCAGCTCACCACACAGCCTCAGCACACACGCGTTTCTCATCACGGGCTTCCCTCCATGGCCTTCCTGCAGCGGCTCAGCATGGATGGCCTTGCTGATTTTCTTACAAGCTTCTCTCTAATTTTTAGCTCTTGAAAGATCGGTTAATACTATGTTGCTATTGATGTCAGCGTGGCACAAAGGCATCTAAACCACCAAAGTGGACTGATCTCACATTACATCCCCCTTTCCCTGAATGACATTAATTCATTCTTGCTAACAAATGATTCTTAAAGTCCTCAGACAAGGACTAATTCTCTGTCTTTGAGCTGAATCATACCCCAGTGAAGCTCTCTGGCAATTTCTTGTATGCTAGAGTGCCTCTTAGTTTATAAATATGAATTTGGTTCTCCCAAAGGGTAAGGCAGTCAGGGAGATACAGGGAATGAGAAACCACACATTGATGTAGTCTAAGGAACTACCTTGAGGTCATGTAGCTGTCCGAGGACATTTACACCTAGGTCTTCTGGCCCCTATTCTGATGCTCCTTTAATTCACCATTCTTCCCCTGTCACCTGCTGTCTCTCTCTCAGCAGAGTGTCCTCTACGTGGTGTGGCCTCGCGATGGAGCTGTGTTGGTGAGTACACTCACTGATCACTGGCCACAAAGCTCACACCACAGGAGAGCTTTTCAGGTTATCCTCGCCAGTCAGTCTGGCAGTGCAGAAGCTCGTGTTAAGCATCTGTGGGTATCACCGTGCGTGGAGTTTCACTTTAAGGGGAAATAAGCGCATGACGCCTGGCCAGTAGCCTGCAACAGCCGACTGGGGAGAGCCTCTGTCACACGGAAATCCATAGCATCTGCTGCTGTCACACCCCAGCTGCCCTGGATCGGCAGGGCATGATGATGTTTACATGTGCTGTGGCACTGCAGGGGAAACAGGTCAGCGGGGAGGAAATGAGACACAAACTGGAGAAGGAGGTAGGACTTGAGGGTGGCAGTTGGAAGCAAAGCAAAGATGCAAGGTGTGAAATTGTGCAATGTATTCAGGAATTAGAGTGCTCACAAGGAAAATTTAAGGTTTGTTTTTTTCTTTAGCCATGTTACAAATTTCTTCTAAGTCAGTAACTGTTCAAAGTTATTATGGCACACATAAACAGACTAAGCAAAATGCCAAGCTATTTTACTGTTTGGGGACTCTACTTTGTTGTGTTCATCTGTGGGACAGGTCTTAGAAATCACAGAGTACATATCCCTGGCAACTTAGAGGCTGCAGGAAACTGATTTCCTAACACCAGCCTCTCAAGAATTACTCTCCACCAGGAAGAAAATCCTGTTGGAGATACTTAGACCATCCAGAATATTCAGATGGCAGTTGCTGGGTTCCCTGGACTTAGTGTGTTGTTCCTTGGTTACTCTGTAATGATGACCCCTAGGCTGTGTTCCACAGCATTTAAGATTTCATCTCATAGCAAGTCTTTTGGTTAAAAAAACCAAATCCCTTATCTGATGGCCACTTTCCCCTACATTTCCATCTTGCAAAGGAGAGAATTCATTTTCAAAGGGGAAGGAGATCAAGAGTTAGAGGATGAGAGAAGAAGGGAAGGGATAAAGAATGAAAAAAAAGTTAAAAAAGGGATTGGAATGTGTTGTGTACGTGTACCAATGCCACACAGGAAGGTAGACATGCACTGCAAAACTGTAAAGTATAGGGAAGAGAAGAGAGATAACCATGAGATGGTGGGTGGGGGTGGAAGGGCAACAGGCGAAATGGAAAAGGAATTCAGATATGTTATGTGCACGTACCAACTGCACACAGGGAAGGTAAGCAATGTGTACAGCACCCATGGGTTAGTAAACTAAGCTATTTTTAGAAGTCATTGTACAAAAGAAGAAGGAGGAAGAGGAGGAGGAAGGGGAAGAGAAAGGGGAAGGGGAAGGGGAAGAAGAAAAAGAAGACTTTCCTAAGTGCCCAAGGTGGGTAGGGAGAACTCCCCAGCACTGCTGGGAGGCTCTCCTTGGCTGGAGTGGCCTGAGCCTGGCCCTCCAGTGATACCAAGTGATAAATTCAGTGGATTGATTTTAGGCTCTTACGTATGACAAGCAGAATTGTGAGTGTACATTCAATGGTAAAAGGAAAAGTACCTGAATTTATTGAAGCTAATGGAAGATAACACATGTATAACTATACTAGAGTTCACTCTGGTCCAATTACATACATGAGGCCCAGTTCATATGTGGGAACTTTTATAAGGTTTGAATGGGGTAAAGGTTATTGAAGGGCAAACTGCAAGATCTAGGAACAAGCTGTAGCCCAGAGGTTAGGGATTTCTGGTCTTTGTTATTTTATCTTTGCTTTTCTTAGAATGATGGAAAGAGTATTGGCCCTGGGGCTTTGCCGACATTCAGGTGGAAGTGGGGTGTTGTCCTAGCTCCAGCCCCAAGTGCACTGCTACTGCCTTCTGCTCTTCCACGGTGGACCCCATCTGTGGCCCTCCCAGCATCATGTGCCATTGAGCATGTTTACTCTGTCCTGCTCCTCCTCCATCGCACCCTGCGCACCAATCTTACAGTCTAAATTTTTTTCAGCTTCTTCCTCAATTTATGTTTATTTCAGCCTTTCCTGGGGTAAAAAGGGAAGTTATACTACCTGAAGTTCATTTGATTTAAATGAAATAGTATTAACAAGTATAGCATATGATCTTTCCTGCTATTATCAGTGAAATGCTGTTCTCCAAACTTTCTGACCTCAGGAGCCTTTGTTCTCTTATAGACTCTTGAAAATCTGGAAGAACTTTAATGCACAACTGTATTAGGTACTCAATCTGAGGTATTTATAAAGCATTAGACGTTGTGAGCACACTTGTCATTATGCACTTTCTTTGGGGCAGTGGCACAGTCATGTAACAGAAAATTTCTCCCCTCCCCTGCCAGAATATTCAGTTTCTTAGTTGCACAGGTCATAGCTCCTGTCCTGGTTCTGGTTGCTTTTGTCTCTTAGAAAAGGCCGGTCACTGTGGTGCACAGCTGGTCACCATGGTGCATGTTGTATAAACCAGTCCCCAATGGACGAGCCTTTCTGCCTCTGTACTTCCTGCCTGTCTGTCTCCTGTAAGCCCTGGGCCTCCAGAGACCAGGAGCTGGGAATGACCCTGATCAGTGGCCATCACCATAGATAACCCTGCCTCCAAATCCTGGGTGTCACTGTGGTGGTTCTGCTTGCCATCACAATCTAAGCTCTGCAGATTGCTGCTGCATGCTTGTGACAGAATGAGAGGAGAGAATAAGTAATGTTTTGTTACTATCATAAAAACCCACTGACTCAGAAATCCCTGGAACATACTTGAGAAACCCTAGTGTAGTATAATAAATGCTGAATGGGTCTGGTGCAGAAAAATGTGAGCCGTGTTATCTTCTTGCATCCGATTATGTTCTACAACCTTTTGTGAGTTATGTGAGCCTTCTGTGTGCCAATTTTCCTTAGTATTTACCTTAATTATTTTATGAGAATCAGACAACAGTCTGTAAGAAGGGGATAATTTTAGTCTTAACTTCATAATCTTGTTAAAATGTGTTAAAATCTTTATAAAAATGAGATAACATGTGTTTAGCATTGTGCGTGGCACATAGTCAAGATGTCAGGAAGTGTTTGAGAAACAGATCAGACAAGATATGCCACCTAGACTGTCACTGTGTTTTTGAGCTAAGTGGCCTTATTTTTTCCTATTGCTTATGTGTTTTGACTGGAAAAGATAAACCAGGGCCAAAGAAATACTTTCTGCAGCACACACAAATATGACAAGTGCAGACAGATCACACCTTTTTATTTCATACAATATCTCTTGAGTAGTTTTATGTTTCAGCTTGCTTAATATTGAAGGCTTCTTTTTCCTTTTCTATCAAAACAAGTCAGGAAGAAAGACTGTTGTAGAGGTAGTAATAATAACCAGGGAGCACTGTTGGATGCAGAGGCCAAAGTCCTGCCCTTTGGGGCCCAGCTGTTCTGCTTTATGGCTACAAGAGCTGGGCAAGTGGCCTAGGCTTTATGAGGCTTATTTTTCACCTGTAAAGAGGGTACATGCCTGTGTTCCTGTTTCCTACTTAGAAGTGTATTGAGGAAACATTGTAGGCCTGTGAAGTCAAACCTTTTATAGACAAGTACCCAAACTACAATCCCAACGCCACTTATTTGTCACAGAGTGCTGACAGTGCAATTAAACTTGAACACTGAGGTTTTAGTTTAGAAAAAAACCTCATGCATTAACATCTTTTGTCTTAAAAGAAAAACAACATTCATTCCATAAGTACGTACACCAGTGCTGTAGGGCTGTACAGAAGCAAAAGGAACAAATATGATTCCCACATTATTATTTTTGCTTTAGTAATCATTAAATAGCCATGATTTTAAAAATAACTATTTTTGGAAAGTTGCAAACATAGATGAAAATAAAAAGGCCATGTGATGAAGTATGCCTGACCTGTCAGAACCTTTAACAGTGTCAACTCAAGGACAATCCCATGTCATCTGCAGCCCCACCCACTTCTCTCCTACCATATATGATTGTAAAGCAAATATTAGACATTATATGATTCTCTTTCATTTCTAAGTATATAGTATGTGTCGATAAAAGATAAGGACTCTCTTTAAAAACACATTTGCAATATTATTGCTGCCTCTAAAATAATTTTTATTTCCTATAGTGTTCAGATTTCCTTGATTAACTTACAATTTTATTTCCAGTTTGCTTATTTAATTAAAATCAAAATAAGATCCATATGTTGCAGTTTGTTGGCATGTCTTTTAAGTCTCTTCTTAATCCAAAGGTCCTCCCCTATACGTAAGAAAAATCTTTTCTCTCAAATTCTGCTTTTAGGAGAAATGAGTAAAATCTGACCACATAGAAATCTTTCAGGTGTTACCTTCAGGGAAATGAAGTTGTTTGATCTGTCAGGTTTCCTTTTACTATGTTTATGATGATCTTAATGTAAGCTCTTCATTTATGTTATGTCTAGAACTCATCCTGTAGGAGTAATGGCTTAGTTTGGTTTTGCTTACTTTAAGCCAGACTTATGCCAATGCTTTTGCAAACTATCCTAAATTATTTTTATATTTGGAGGAAAGTTTTATTATTCCCATTATACAGATGAAGGAGTTAAATGACCTGCCGAAATGTGTAGCCACCAAGTAACTGGCAAAGCCAGAATGTACACTGAGATTTGCCTGAATCCTAAGTATTTTCTTCTAACCTTTTCATACCAAATCTTTTCTTCCTCAGATGTCAGTGACTTTTCCATAAAAGAGTAAAAAATTTTCTTTCTTTTGGCAGCTGGCGATTTGCATTTTACTTACTGCTTACTATTGCTGGAGTTGTATTTCTCTATGATGTAAGTTGTCTTTTTGATATCTTTAGAATTTGTCTTTAATTTTTAAAATTATTGACTGTGGGTTGTTTTACGATACATTCTTGACACATAATCGATTTTAGAGATTTCTCTTGGAATTCAAAGATTCATTTAAAAATATCTTATTATTATAGCTGTCTTAAGATATATTTACCTCTAAAAATGCAATAATTGAATTAGTTGGAAAGTAATTGCTTAGTAGACTTGTTTGTTCAAAATATTTTTAGAAAATAAGACAGTCCCAGTTATTGATCCCAGATTTATGGGAATTTCATATGGGTATTCCATAGGACGAATGAATAAATACTTACAAAGGGTGAAATATCTGCAACAGAAACACCAGGAATATGCAAAAATAAGTCTTCCTATGCACCTTTGCCCCTGATAAGCAACATCAAGAGGCAGTGATACTTTCTGAAGAAATTGGCCTTTGATTCTGATAAGCTTACTTCTCTGTCTATCCCTGTTTTTACAGAAGCCTTGGGCGTATGACTTCTGGGAGGTTTGGAGTGGCTATCCCAGACAGGTGAGTGCCCTGTTAATGGCTGCTTCCTGCCTTTAATATCCAGGCTCCTAAAATTGTCCCTTAGTTCAGGTTTGGTGTCCTTCCCACTCTTGGTCAGCTACCGGTCACCTTCTGCTTCTTTCCCATCCTGGGCTTTCTAATTCTCATTAACTCATGACTTGTCTCAGTGTATAACTTGTGTACAGTTAATGGAATATATATTTGGGCTTAAATCTATTATTTATCACTTATTTTTTGTTTGTGCTGCCTGATAGATGGAAAGCCGGATGTATTTCTCTCTAGTTTTTCTGTGGGATAGTCAAGCTTTTTAAGAAATCACTGTCCATTTTCCCTTATGACTTTCCCTTTTGATTTTTCATGAATACATGATTTTGTTTATTAAATAAATATTATAATTTTTATTATATATATACATATATATATTCCTAGAAATTACATCCTTGGCTGATGAAAGTATACTACAAATTAGTGATTTTTTTTCTCTCTCTGTTGCTACAAGGCCATTAGAATATATCACAGAGGCTGGGGATTTAGCTCAGTGGTGCAACATTTGCCTGGCAAGCATGAGGTTCTGAGTTTGATTCCCAGAACTCCTTCAAAGTAATCTGTATACCTGCCTCCTTCAAATAGTTAAAGCCTTAAAAAACCACTGCTCTTACTGCTTTATAAGTTAGTGAAGTTACTCTTTCTCTGCTATTCACTGCTTCCTGCATTTCTGGGCTCCCGTATGTGCTTATTACTGTCCTGGCTAAATAAGTCCCACTTGATATATTTTTAACAATAGGTCTTTTGGGTTTTGTTTGGCTGAAAATATTGTATTTCCTTTATTTTGAAAAATTTAATAAAAAATTTTATTGAACTAAAATTTATATACCACACAGTTTGCAAACTTAAAGTCTTAAGATTCAATAGATTTTAGCACATTGACAGAGTTATACAGTGACAACCACAGTCAAATTTAGGTCGTTTTTGTTATCCCTAATCAAAATGTTTTACCTACTAGCTATCAACTCCCCATCCCTTGCCTTTATTTTTTAAAGGATTTTTTTACTAGGTGTAAAATGGTAGGTTAGCAGTTATTTTCTTCAGCACTCTCAAGATGCTATTCCATTGTCTTTTTAATCTCATCAGTTTTTTTTTAAGACTTCATCTGTCATTTTGTTCTTGCTTCTTTAAGATATCTTTTTCCCAGCTTATTTTCATGCTTTAGCTTATCTTTTAGCTGTTTGTTGTAAAATACACAGATTTAATTTTCTTTGAATTTATCCTACTTAGAATCTGTTGTACATCCAGTCTTTGTGGCTTGCTATCTTGAGTTCGGTCTGAAAAATTCTGTTACTGCTGTCGCCTCTCTTCCTTCCTCTCCTTCCTCTTCTAGAATTCCAGTTACAGTGTGCTAATATCCTCGCCTTTATGCTAGGCATATAGGTCTCTTACACTTTTAAAAATGTTTTCCATCCCTTTACCTCTGTGTGTGTCAATCACTGGGAGACAATTTTTTATTGGTCTGTTGCTTTTCTACACAAGATGTGAAGGGAGATGCTGACTCACTGACTGCCTTTTGTTCTAGACTGTCTTTTCAAGGTTGTTTGTATAGCAAGCAGTCCCAAGTGATTTAAATGTCTCCCTCTGGAGAAAAAGGTAGGCATGATTAAAAGATTCAGGTTCCCTAGTTTAGGATTCCTCTCATGTAACACAGTCTACAACATATACAGTTGTCATTGGATGTCTTATGAGAACTAAGGATGAGGGAACTGGTCAAAATACTCCAGGTACTCCAGCTACCGTTACTACTGTGAGTCATGTGGTGCTCTTTATCTTTGGCCTAGGAGTCACCTGTCTACTACCAGCATCTATGAAACTTGTGGCAGACTAACTTGTTTGCTTGCAAGCAGGATAAAATTGCAGGTATTTGCACCTTCCTGTGTCCTAGAGTTCACTGAGGCTTTTGCCAGCAAAGTCTAATTTGGTGTTAAACACATCCTTTGAATTCTTAATTTCACTTACTATATTTTTTAGTTCTCAAACTTTCATTTAATTTTTTAATGGGTTCCTGTTCTCTACTGAAAAATTTCCAGGGGCTGGAGAGATGGCTCAGTGGTCTAAAGCACCTATTTGGAACAAGCTTGGCAAAGCACAGGGACCGCGGTTCGATCCCCCAGCACCACATGCCAGCCAGCCCCGCCCCCTGGTGGGCTGAGCTGGCCACACACACACACACACACACACACACACACAATAAATAAATGTAAAAAAAAAAGAAAAATTTCCATCTTTTCGTCTGTTTTTGAAGTTATTTTAAAGTCTGAGTATAGTAAATCCTGATTACCTCTAGATCTTTTTTCCTTCCTGTTCCTGTCTCCATCTTCTTTGTAGTTTTTGATTGAATGACCAGCATTGTATATGACAAAAAAATATAGATAGCCAGAGTATTGTTTTCCTTCCGAGAGGATTTATTTTCCCTTCTGTTAGATGTTAGAGTGGATCATCCGACCGAGCTGCTCCCGTGTGGCCACAGTGATTGCGAGGGTAAACGTATTGCTAGCTTGCATCTCCTAGGGTGTTTTTCTTCTGCAGGTTTAGATAAAAGATTACAGTGTTTGCAGTGTCTCCTTTTTGTTAGTTGGTTAAACATCAGCTTGCTTCCTAGCACTAGGAGAGAAATAAAACACCTGCTTAGCCTCTGCTATTCCTTAGTTTCTGGGCTCTAAGAAACTAAATTGGAAAATGCAGAAATTATGATCTATATCGTTGCAGTTTTCTTTGGGTTTATTCTGCTTAGGATCAGTAGTACTTATTGAATAAAAGATTCACTTGAAATGGTTTATTTTAAACATTTTTTCTTTGAGCTCTTTACTCCACAGGTTGTAGATGCCTGGATTTCTCTCTGATACCTGCAAACAGATACTTGCCCCCCCTCCTTTTATCCAGATGTTAAATTGTGTTAAGATTAGTCTCACACAGGCTTGTTTATCATAGAAGAAAGCGGAAACTCTCTTGTCCTTTTATGGCCTTATCACAGATGACATGTTCTTCAGGAGCAAAAAATTAGTTCTTTTCATGTGTTAGCTTCAGCAGGGAAGAATCAAAGTTTAGACTAGATGATCTGAACATTTTCTAGGCCATACTCCAGTCTTGCTGTCGTCTGCCTCCAACTTACTCTTTTCTTCTCAGTCATGTTAGTTACCTATTGGTTCATAGCAAGATATCCCCCATTTTTCTTGCTTATTATTTGGGTTGGCAAATTTGGCTCAGCTGAGCAGGTCTGTTCTTGGGCATCAGCCAACTTCGTTCAGGCATTGTCAGTCAGTAGCTGGCTATCATTCGTGTTTTTGCCAGTGGGTGTGTCGATCCACTTCCTCACAGCCTCTCTAGCAGGCTAGTTCAGACTTCTTACATGAGAAAAATCTCTGCTTACGTCATGCTGGCTTCTGTCCCCTGCCTGCAGACCAGGTTCAATTCAGTCAGTGAGGGAAGGGATGACACAGGGTGTGGATATCGGGAGGCAGCATTCAGTGGAGCATTAAGGTGACTGTCAGACTATGTCTAATAACTTACCTGCTATACAAGTATTAAGGGACATTTTAGCAACAGAAGCTTGAGCCTTTTTCAGAGTCCTGAAATAATGGTACATGCTTTATTACTTCTGACCCCAAGACTATCACCAGAAAAAAAGATGAAGACATCAGAATTTCAGTAATAGTTAAGAAACATTAAGTAAGGCAAAACATAGGACCAATGGAACAGACTTCTTATTGTTCTTAAATACAGGATTTTTAAATTGTTGCTTTAAATTTAACTCCAATTAAGTTAAAGATAAGTCCTGTAGCAGCTTTTTCAGGCAAACATTTGACTTGATTTTGGAATGCTTGTCTATCATTTTAGAACACATTACCAGAATATTATCTCCAGTCCCTTTTTGGAAGTGGAAATATGAATCATTGTCATTTTATAGAATTTTTTGGATGAAAAATAGGTGTCAGGGCACTAAAGAAAGTTGTTTCAAGGTGACATTTAAAGTAACAAATAATGGGCCTTTGTAAGATAGCTCAGTTGTTTACAACGCTGCTTGAGTAAATTCAGGCAGGCGTGTAGGACCACAGTTCAAATCCCAGCTCCAGAAGCTGTACCAGACCTGCCCTTAAGGCAGCCTCAAGAAGCCAAGTAAGTAAGTAAATAAATAAATAAAGTAAGTAATGAACACTTCTCTTCTCCTCAGCCCTTGCTGCCGTCTCAGTACTGGTACTACATGTTAGAAATGAGTTTTTATTGGTCTCTCACATTCAGCCTTGGCAGTGATACCAAGAGGAAGGTAAGTGTATTATTTACAAGCAGCTTTGTCAGTTTTTTCAAATATTTTTATCACTCTGCCCCACATTGTAATCTTTAAGTCATATTTTTATGTGTAGTTTCAGTTCATGGACCTTTTTGCTTTTGATAGTACATAGAATAGTATAAATTATGCCTGCTCTTTGGTGCCTTGGTCAATATTTGCAGTGGAACACTATAGAAGTCTTAACTTTGGCATTCTACCCTGCTCACTAAGTGAAGAAATCTCCGTTTAGGCTGCCTATTTTATTCAGCTTGGGAGCTCAGTGTCTTTTAAGGCACAGAAGAAAAGTGCCAGCCGTGGTCACTCTGCGGCCACTTCTGCTTGATGAAAAAATTACTGTATAAAATACTTTTGATGTTTTTGAAGACCTTAAAGTATTTTTTCTGTAATTTTCAATATCCTTTCTCAGAAATCTGGCTTCAAGCATTTGTAGCTTGCTTTGTTTGTAGGGAAACTGAGTCACGAGCATACTAAGTGCCGTCTTGGGTCACAAATTACAGCATTTCAGAAACTGCTCAGTGGGCTTCCTTTCTGGTCCAGCAACTTGTGTTAGCCATGAACACAGTCCCAAGATTTCCTCATATATGTTAGCAAAGCAGGTCAGATGATGAATAACCTTGGCCTATACTTCATACGCAGTGCCCAAGGAAAAGGTCAGGTTCGTGGCAAAGTTTGCATGATCGATAAAATTAAGTTAGATTCAACATTGTTAAAATAAAATTGGCTTGAGATAGTTCAGTGGTGGGTGACTCTCATAACTAGGAGACACACTGTGCTCCAGTGGACATCAACTGATGGAATCTAAGAACATGCTATGAAAGAAATCTGATAGAAATGATGTCTATTTCCATATAACTAAATAATAGCTATGGTTAACTGTTACTAAATTTAGGCTAAAGATAAATTGAATGTAATGGATTGAGTTTTTTTTCCTCAAGGGATAGAAAGGAAAATACTTATTTTTTAAAAGTGTTCCTAGCTATTATGACTGATCTGTAAATTCTTTCTTCATTTTTATTTTGGACAATTTTTATTGTTATATTCATTTATGTTTGTAAATAAATAATTAATTTTTCAATTTGCAATCTATTAAAAAATTAAAATTAAAAAAATAAATTCTGACATTTGTTACAAATTAGTATGAAATGCTGTTACATAAGTCTATTAAATTCAGTCAGAATTGACATTTTCAATAAACATGTGCCACTTAGAGGGCAAAAAACTCCTAGAGAGATTAGGGAATAGAAAAATAAAAAATAAAATAAAAGTGTTCCTGGATAGGTAGGTTGATTTCATGGTATTTGATTTCTCTTTTATTATTTGCAGGAGTATGGAGCTCCTTTTCAAAAATTAAAGCATATGTTTTATGTTTTATACATACATTTCTTCAGAGACATAAAACCACTGGGAGGTTACTGGATCATACTTCTGCCGTTAACTGTCTGGGTTTGAACACCTGACCTCACTGTTCGCTAACATAGTTAGCCAGTAGGTTAAACTTCATAAAGCTAGTTTCTTCACTTGTAAAATAGAGTTAAAACTAGTTTCTATGTCTTTAGGTTGTTGTGAGGATTAAACTAGTGAATCTGTAGGAAATACTTCTGGTTTATAGTAAGTGCTCAATAAAAAGAGCTATTATTTCATATTTATCCTTTCAGTTTGGCTTGAAGGAAACCGCAACCTTTAAATTAAAACACGTGTTTATTGAGATATTCAAATCATACAGTTGAACCATAGAAAATATACAATTCAGTCATTTCTAATACATTCACAGAGTTATACAGTCATCATCAAAGTCAATGTGAGCACGTTTTCCTCATCCTGGACCTGTTGGCAGTCACTCTTCACCCCTCCCCAGCCTCTGGCAGCCGTAACTTACTGTCTATCTCTGCACATTACCTTTTCTAGATATATCAGTTCATACGAATTGAGTCATGCACCATGTGATCTTTTGTGTCTGGCTCCTTTTGTGCAGCATAATATTCTTAAGGTTTGTTCATGTATGCCGTGTGGCAGTAACTTTCTTTTTATTGCTGACTAGTAGTCCATTGTGTGAATATACCTCATTTTGTTTATCCTCTTAACGGTTGCTAGGTGTTTGGGTTCTTCCTTCAGTTTGGCCATTATGAGTACTGTGAATATTCGTATATGAGTGTTTATGTAAACTAGTGTTTCCATTTTGTCTAGATGTGGAATTGCTGGGCCACATGATAATCCCATGCCTACCTTTTTGAGGAACTACCACACTGTTTAACAGAAGAGCTGCACTATTTTATACTCCTACTAGCAGTGTACAAGGGTTCTAGTTTCTCCATATCCTTGTCAACACTTGTTACTGTCACTAGTTTCTTATACCTCTCCGAATGAGTGTGAAGCAGTGTCTCCGTGTGACTCTGGTTTGCATTTGCTGATGACTATTAAGGTTGAGCACAGTATGTGTACTAATTGTTTATTTGTTTATCTTCTTTGCAAAGAATCTTTATGTTATGAAGCTCCATGATGGTAGTTTTCCTTAACTTTGATTCTCTGATACATTTAGCAAATGTAATTTTTTTTTCATATACAGTGGATTACTTTGAAGTTTGTATAGTTTTATTATACTTTTTTTTCCTTTTTGAAGCTAAGCAAGGAACAAATAGTACATGTAAATGTGTACAAAAATATGCTTGTGTTTGTATTTGATATGTATGTGTGTGCACATAGACATAGGTCCAGTGTGTCAGCAGAAAGGACAACAGATGTTAGGAGTTAGGTGACAACTGTTCAGTGTAGTCTTAAAGTTAAATGACTTAATGAATCAGGATAATACTCATCTTAGCTCCCTCATTAGAATTGTGTTTAAAATTGAAGTGAAAGACTTTTGCAAATTCCAAAACATGCAAATGTAAGTTATTGGTATTATTATGATTGCCTCCAGTGACTGGAAAATAACTGCATTTGCTTAATGACTTCCATTTCTCTTGCTGTATAGGACTTTTTAGCTAATGTTGTTCACCACCTGGCTGCCCTTAGTTTGATGAGCTTCTCTTGGTGTGCTAATTATATTCGCAGTGGGACCCTCGTGATGATTGTGCATGATGTCGCTGACATCTGGCTGGAGGTACGTGCTCATCATTAAAAAGATAACAGTGTCACATGTTGGGCTTCTGTAATTTCTCAGGGAAGGAATTGATAGTGAGTTAACAGGGTTTGGAGTCCTGAAAACACCGTAAGTTTGAGGATGTCTCAGGGCTCCTCTCTCCTTCAAGATGAGAGAAAGAAAACATCTTGTTTTACATTTTCCACCCCTCTTCATGGTGTTAACAAGAGGTCAATCTGTGGATTCCATCTAATGGAGGTGCATTCTGGTGCTGGCTCAAGAAGTAAGTTGAGATATTTACGGAAGAAATGAACTATAATTTTTTGAAAGAAAGATTTAAGTTTTGGCATTCTGGATTCTCCCACTTGAATTGCACCGTCTACTCACTTAGACCAATTCCTGAATGCCCACTGGATCTCACACTGGCCAGCTGATCCTCCTGCAGTCCTATTCCTGGCTTTAAGAAATGCAAGCTTATTTTTTCAAAATGGTATTCATTTTCTAAAGGAAAAAGGGGACTTTGGATGTTTTCTGATGTGTTAAGTAAGACTAGAGTCTTCCTAGTCCCATACCGCAAGGCACATCAGGAACAAAACAACGTTAAGGCTTTTTCTACCTGCTTCTGTGACACATTGGTTCCTGGTGACCCTGAGGCTGTGACTGAGTGGTTGTTCCTCTCACTGCCATGTCTCCTGCTCTATTTAGAGTAACATTTCCCAGAATCTTTTTAGTTTCTCATTTTAATATACTCATTTATAATGAACCCAGGGAAAATGATGTTAACCAGCATCATGCTTTGGATTGCTTCTTGGAAGTCTAATAATTGAGCATAGGTTGATATGGAAAAAATTAAATTTAATAGAATCTTGTTCCTCCGTCTCAAGGCTCAGCAAACTTTTTTGGTAAAGGGCCAGACAGCAAATACAGCTTTGTGGGTTATATGTGATCTCTGTCACATATTTTTCTTTGTTTTTTTTTTTTCTTTCAGTTTTTAATGTCCCTTTAAAATGTAAAAACTATCCTTAAGAGCCGGCATGCTTTAACCATGGGGTGGACTGTAATTTGCCAAACCCTGTTTGAGAAATAACCAGAAATTATTTAAAGCAGTTTCAAAGCAGCTAGCCACTGTTAAAATGTTCTTTGTGTACAGATGTTGTTTCTCCTTTGTCTGTGATCCTAATTAGATATATAAATATCATTCTAAAGGTCAGGTTTATTGAATGTGCTTCAGGGCAGCAAATGGCTTAGCAAAAGAAGGGCTATGCCAGCTTTTTCATGTGTTGCTTTCTGAATGCAGCCATCTCTGTTATAATTACCTCCTTCTCTGATCATATCTCCCTACCCTGACTGAAAATTAAGACCACATTGACCCTGACTTAAGAATTTTGTACTAGTCTGTTGCTTCTAAAGGCTCTTATTCAGTTGCCATTGGTGTGTGTCCAATGTGAAAATAGTTCCATTGTGTTATTAAAGGGGAATTATGTGTTCAAACAAATGTTGGGTTTTCCCCACCCACTGTCTTCTACCCTGTCAGGGCCACAACTAATCCCTCAGAGCCTCGGGCAAGTCACTTACTGTTTTGTTTTCTATCTCCAGTTGTAACACAAAAAGTCTGTCTGTCCCTTAGGATGTACTGTGAAGCTTGGCTCATTACTGTTTGAGTATGTTCTGAGGGCCTTACGTAAAGCACAGAAGAAAGATGAAATGTCAAACTTAGAAGACCTTTCATGGATAAACTACAAGAACAGGCTTCAGGTTCTTAAAGATCATGAATCATTCTTGGTTCAGAAAACGTGATCTAACTTGAGGTACACAGGCCCGTTCCATCCATTAGTAGTGGATAGAGGACTTTTTTCCCCCATATTCTCACAAGGGTGCATGCTTTACAGCTTCCCTGAAGAGTTGTTTTAGTGTTTACCCTGTCAATCAAATTCTGATTGAACACAGCTGTGGTACTGTTTTGTCCCTGTGCAGGTCTTCCTTGAGATGGAGCTTAATGAACTTTCATATTCTTCAGGACAGTTGGTAGTGCATTTCTTGGCTCTTTCTGTGCAAGTAAAAGCATTCTGAACATCAACAGTTCTCACCCATGAGCTTTTGCCTTCTCTGCATTTTCCTGATCCTCTCGTTTGCCCCTAACCCAAATTTGGGTCTAGGACCCAGGACACTACACGTATCCTGATGCTATGGTAGAGGCGCCGCCATCTGGTGTGTCATCCTTGTGCAGTCCATAGTGTGCACTTTTTACCTGAGCACTATTTTGCCCCCATAAGTGGCCGTACAGAGATTCTTATGCCAGAGTACATCTTAGCTTCCTACCTGACCTAGTCTTCTTATGCCGGAGTACATCTTAGCTTCCTACCTGACCTAGTCGTTGACCTTACAAATAGATGTCAGGTCTAGTCCAGTCACTCCCAAGAGCTGACCTTCATTCTTACGCTGTTTCCACCTACTGAGGGTTCTAGTTAAGCATAAACTGCAGCTGTTCTGTTGAGCCCTGTGCCGCCCCATGGGATGGCCATGTCTTCACCTTATGGAAAGTATGGAAATGGCAACATAAACCCTTCCTGGAATGTACATATGTTGCCTTTCTTGTTTTAGAAGGGTCTTGAGCCTGCCAGGTGATGTCAGTTCTGAAACTGCCCACGTCCAAGCCATGCCCTTCAGGGATGGTTTTCCCCACCAGAGCTCACACCCTGTCCTCTCCAGTCCCTGTCCTTGTCACTCCCCAACTCCCACTGCACTGGGTACCGCAGTAGGCTGTCCTCACCAATTACCCTTACAGTACCACATTCAACATCCTTTTCTGTAATTCTTTTTATTTAATGAGCATTATGAACTAATATAAAATAAATAAGAGATAATCAAGTATGTAAAACTTTACTGCAACCAGGGCAGGGCCCCCAAGAGCTCCTGCTGGCACCTCTCCTACCATGTGCCCTACAGTACCCACCTTGGTGCAGCACTCCCAGCTGGCCTACAGTTCATTCCTACCCAGGCTTTCCTCAGGTCAGCCTCTCCCCAACAAGTGGAAGTGTTACTGCCAAGGCAGAATGCACGCTACAACTGATTATACTAGCTTCAATTCTTTTTGAAAAGTGAGTCATATTTCAGTCATTTTAACATCTTTTAAAGGCGTTCTAGTGTAGAAAATTGAAAATACAGCAAAATATGGGGTCAGGGAGATAGCTCAGTAGAATAAGTGCTTGCCTGGCAAGCGCAGGGTCCTGAGTTCAATCCCTGGTACCACGAAAAAAAAAAAAGAAAAGAAAAGAAAATACAGCAAAATAAAAGATTTTGATGATTTCTCCAGCATTTTGAGTTATCAGTACAGCTAGTCTGTTCAATCCGTGACACCATCTACACTCCACTTTCCTCTGATAGTTTTGAAGCAAATCTCCAATATCTTATTTAATGTATTAACTTTTAAAATTTATACTATCATTTTATCTAAATGCAGTTTCCTTTGTTTTTAGTCTGCTAAGATATTTTCTTATGCTGGATGGAAGAAAACTTGTAACGCGCTGTTTTTAATCTTCACCGTGGTCTTTTTCATCACCCGCTTCATTATTTTTCCTTTGTGGTGAGTAAACAAGGTACCAGCCCTGCCATGGCCAGGGATGTGCTGGGGTGGCTGTGGCATGCTGTCGCTGTCAGAGAGCATTGCCCTTTCCCGCTTACATTCATCTTCAGTTATTTGTGCCAAGCTCAGTTGAAAACAAGATTCTGATGAGCCTTTTCTATAATTTACATTTTTATGGGTAATTAAAGCTGCATCCCCCAGTGTGGAAAAAGCTTCTCGCAAAGGGAAACGGAAAATGTGCGACCCAGTGGGTGAGCATCGACTCCTGCTCCACATCTTGTTCATAAGTATGGTTCCTTTTTCAACAACTTTTCCAATTACTCAGTGACAAGCCACTGGCCAGTCACCAGGCCGCTAGAAGAAATGCGTGTTCTGTGTTATGCGCATTGTACCCGTTGCCTGACTTCCAGGCACTGGAGGAAGTTGTTTAAAAATCTTGACTTTAGGGGCCGAGGAGATGGCTCATTGGAGTAAGCGTTTCCCTGGCAAGTGCAAGGGCCTGAGATCAATCCCAGGTTCCACCAAAGAAAGCACACAAAAAAACCTTGACTTGAGTCTGCATAACAGATCATAGCTAGGTTCTGTCACTCCCACTTCACAGATGGGGGCTGATGCTCATGCCACTCTCCATTGCCACTGATCCGAGCAGCGAGTCAAGTAGCATTCACTGTCCCTTGATCAGTCTGGTAAACTGATTCAGCTGTGCGCTGGTAATGAGGGCCGTAATACTGTGCCTCCCAGGACAGACCTTCCATGGGAAGCATATTTCTCCATGTGTTAGCTGACAGAATATAGAGATAAAGGGAAACTTTGGTTTGAAAGAACAGCTCTTAACCAACAGTGACATATGCCTGGCCTGGAAGCTTCAGAGCCTCTCCACAGACAAATTGGTGCTGTTGCTGACCCCAGGATCCAGGGCAGACAGCTGGAGACTCTGGCACTTGGCCTCTGTCCTAGGTGGATGGGCAGTGCCCGTGGTGAGCACTGGGGCAGTGTGGCCAGAGAACTCAGCGGGAGCTGCCTGCCACTTGAAAGCCTGATACTTTTTTTAAACCACCAGGGGGAATCATGCTGAGGCATTCTGTGAAGAAGAGAAGCCCAGAGCAGGGATTAAGTTCATGGATGTGACCAGGCCTGGTTGCGAGCCTGGCTCCACCTGTACTCCCTGAGTGTGCTCTTGCTGGGTTAGTGAGAGCACTGCTCTGGGCCTCAGGTTTCTCACCTGTTGGTTGGAAGTAAGTGTTGCCGTGAGGCTTACCTGAGGCAGTAGGTGTGAAAGCTTTAGAAAAATGTCTGGTGCTTGCTAAAGACTAAATGAAAGCTGTTACTGAAATTGTTCTCAGAATTTGGAGTTTAATCTAGAGCCAAATCCAAGATATATATCTTAGACGATGGGCAGTAAATCACATTACTGTAACTTTTTCTTTGATTGAGCAGGAATGTTTATGAAATTATACATTGTATGCTAGCTGTTATTATTATTGTTACTGGGATGGAACCCAAGGAATCATGCATGCGAGGCAAGCACTACCAAGACTCCTCCAACCCTTGATAGCGACTAAGATAGGATAAACATTGACCTAAGGGTAACAGTTGGATATAGCTCTTCAGTGTGGCTTCCGTGGCCCTGAAAGCCTAGTGTCTGCTCAGCAGAGCCTGTCATGTGGTGAGGGCCCCACACGCTTCAGCTGTCTGTGGTGGTGTGGCGAAGCATCTGCAAACCTGGTGGCTACAGGAGCAGTGGGCAGACTTTCCATTCAGGGCCAGAGGATAAATATCTTTGGTGTTAAGGGCCACATATGGCTTTTGCTGTGTGTTTTTCTTTAGAAAAATGTCTGGTGCTTACTAAAGACTCAAGGAATACATTTTTAAAATATACTGCGCCATACTTAGTCCACACAGCCATCCAAAATCATGTTGCAGGCCAGATTTTATTCACAGGCCATAGTTTACAGCCCTCTGTGAAAACATCATTTGTTGATTACTAGTACCTCTCCTGGTCCTCAGAGGTGATGGGCCACAGCTAGTTGGTTTTCATTTAGGGTCTCTAATGTGGTTACAATCAAGTGGTGGCTGGCAGTCAGTCAGATGGTGGCTAGAGCTGGAATTTTCTTCCAGCCTTCCTCAGCCACATGGTTAAGTAGCACATGTAAAACCAGATGTTGTACTGATTGGTTGTTGGCTGGGACTTGGACTGAGACGATCAGCTGGAATACCCACAGAGGCCTCACCGTGTGACCTTGGCTTCTTCATAGCAGGGCAGATGCATCTCTGGTATGAGCCTCTTTTTTGTTTGGTGACAGAAATCGAACTCAGGACCTTGCACTTGCCAGGCAGGCGTTTGTATCACTAAGCTATCTCCCCTACCCCAAGTGTGAGCCTATTAAGAGAGAGCTAGCCAGACACTAAATCTCCTTCTGTAAGCCAGCCTCAGGAGACACATCGTGTCACTTTGTACCTTGTGTTCTTCATTGGAGCTGGATCCTGAGGGCCCTGACCATTTTTCAAGGGAAAGAAAATTAAACTGTCTTTCTTGGTAGGAATAGTATCAAAGAATTGGCAGATGTGTTATTAAAGCACACACCACGGAAGCCCTTAGTCCAGAGAACTCTCTGAGAAGCTTCTGCAGTGTTGCTGCTGGGGCTGTCATTGGATTTAGCCAGAAAGAACATTCCTCTGTGATGTCTCAAACAAGCAGTTCACTCTCTTGCCAGCTGGATTTTGAGAAAAATTAGCTACAGGCGCTTGACATTTTCTTGATGTTGACACTGAATTCACCAAGCTATTGCCATCTTTAGGGAGATGAATTACAAGAAAAAAAATTCTAAAATACCTGATTGTGTGGTTTTTTTTTCTCTGGGTAAAAATACTTCTGTACCAATACTGACTGATTATAACTGTTTGGAAGGTTGGACAAAACCTCACCAAGGCATTGGAAGTTTAGACTTTGAAAAACAAATCATTATTTTGCTTGAGGTCCATCTGTCAGTAAGGGAGTTTCCTGCAGCTGGAGTATACTTCTCTGGTTTAGTCTCTTATCAATTCATTTTTCAAAAAATTATTTTTGTGTATTTGGTACAGGGTCTCACTGCGCAGCTCAGACTCATAGTGATCCTCCTGTTTTCAGCCTCTCCAGTGCTGGCTGGGATTACAGGCATGCGCCATCATGGCCCATCTTGATGGCTGACTCAGCACACCTGGGGGCAGGGCTGGCACAGCTTGTGGTGCTGGGAGTAGAACCCTGGTATCTGAGCTTGTCTAAGCAGGTGCTTAGTCCTCTGAGCTATATCTCCAGCTCTCTCATCAAGTCAAGCATGTTATGCTGTCACCTTGGTGGTACCAGAAAGGAAAATTTAGTTTCTTTCATCAGCCTGGTGTTAACCATCTGTCCAAACCTTGTAACCCTGTAGACCCATTTCTTAAGGGCATGTAATTTAGCCCAGATTTGTTGGGAAATCACCACGAATGAAGTGCTGTGCAATGGGACATCTTCAGAGGTGCAACTCAAAGGCTGCACAGATGTAACTGTAGCTTAGGCATTTGCCAGGGGTGTGGCTCAGAGGCACAGCACCTGCCTGGCACGTGCAAGGTTCTGAGTTCAATCCCTGAAACAAAAGACTCAGACATTTGAGAGGTGCTGTGGGATGGCACTTACAATCCAGTCGCCCTGTTCTTCTTCCCAACTGCTTTTGTTGTACATTTGTGTTAAGACACAGAGCAAGAGAAAACTTCCTGTGGTGGTACACACTTGCTATGTGTGTCTGCAGGCCTGAGAGGGAGCTGGAGCTTCCCACCTGTGCATGTCTTAGTTTATCTTTCTTTTGCACCAGCCTCAAGTGTGTTCGCTTCCTTCTGTTGCCCTTTCGTATTTCTGCAACTGCACCTCCTGATTTCCTTTCCTGCTGCATCTCATGATCCGATTTATCTAATTCTCAGTGTCAACACAAATTGGTTATGTTGATTTTCTAAATATTGTTTCATTAAATTAGGTATAAACTCAAATTGCCATTGGTCAAATTGCTTTAGTTGCCTGGTGATGGAAATTATTTATATTTTTATTACAAACCATTTAATCATAGGTTTGTATTTTTCACATGCTATTCCCACTATTGTTTTCAAGTAACTTATGTATTTTTGAATTATACAAATGCCACCAGAGAGCCACTAGGGTACAAAGCTCTTTCTAGGCCCAGATAAGTGATTCCTCTGACTCTTGTTTTTCTTTTTTGTATTTTAGGGAAGGGTCTACAGGGTATTCAGAGTCTCACTACTAGATTGGACTCATAGTGATCCACTTGTTTGCAGCCTCCCAAGAGCTGGGATTATAGGTGCGTGCCACCACGCCCAGTCTCAATTGTGGTCTCAGCACAGCCTGGGGTGGGACTGGCATGGAAGGCCTGGGGATTGAATCCCAGGTCCCTGCGCCTACTTGTAGGTGCTTTAATCCACTGAGCTATTTGGCTGGCCCAATTCCTCTGACTCTTGACAGTGTCTTCCATACATAACAAGACACTTGAACAGAAGAAGAACTCTGTCTTGATGGTTTTTTAACATCCAATTCAATGTTCCTCACGGCCCAAGTTTCTAGGTGGCCATGTGGCTTATTGCTTCATGGCTTGAATGTCCCACAGCTCACTATTATAGGATGACAAAGAGCAGGAGAAACAGTTCCTACTGTCCAGGAGTACACATGGCCATAGAAGAGATCTTTGTATCCTTACTCATATATTTGAAGACCGATATAGTGACCTATGTTTCTCAGATGTGGCAGAGAAAAAAAAATAAACCATTTTCACCTGTGAATACTACCCAGCTACATAGCATCTTTACCTCCAAGGGTCCCTGTGCTCACACTCATCTTCCACCCATAACACGTGTCACTGCATTTTATATTTCAGCTTCTGATTATCCAGCTATTATTAGTGTAAGAGAACTGGTACCATGGGAAGCCCACATGTGAAAGGGAATTTTAATGAGCAATGGGACCAGCAAATTACTTGGAATAGCTGACAGAGAAAGGAGAGTTTAAACAAACAAACAAGAAATTAAGGATAAAATTGAAAGCAACCAGCAAGGTCCTTAGCTCATAGTCCTGGGGGAGATGAAGATGAAGATGAAGATGCGTGCTCTCTTTCCTCTGAAGCTCCTAGGCCTGGGGGTAGATCCCAGAGCACAAATCTGATGGCTCCACTGGGGACACAGCTTCCTTGGTGGAGGAGGGCTGTGGCTCCTGAACTTTCTTTCAGAGCTCGAGCTGCTCCCCTGAGCCACCACTGCAGATGTAAATCTCAGAGCTGGATTTTCCAGTTACACGTAGGATGGAATCAAAAGGGAGGAGCAACCGGAGTGCTTTCGTTGGCCTGCACCTCTGTGCTAGGGATTTTTTCACGCTGTTAATAAATTCACAAAGGACAGCCACCGTGGTCACTCTTTGAATCACAGAATCTTAGGGTATGGAACTTTATTCATAATTTAGTCCATACTCTTTATTTATTTAGAAATAATTTCAAGTATATATCTTTTACTCTTTGGCATTTTGTCCCATTTACTTTGTCATTCATTCTCACTCTGTCCACCTTTACAGACACACACAATTTGTTTGAAAGCTATGAACCTTAGCTAAATAGTTTCTTACACCCCAAATACTTGGGAGTGTATTTCCTAAAAATAAGAACCTTCTCTTATGCAGGAAATGTAGCAGTCTACATTCTGTGTTCCGGTTGTGTCACTCAGTCCCATAATGTCTTTTCTTGCTTTTTCCCCTCACTGTTTAGCTGCTGGCCCCAATGCTGAATTACATTTAGTTGACACAGGAAGCGGGTTTGTACCCTTCTTTGCCTTTCATTCATTGCCATTGTTGGAGTGTTTAGACCCCATATTTATTTTTCAGATGAGAAGTTGTGCTATTTCTAGGATCACATTTAGTGATGGAAGAACCAGAAGTAAAAACAAGACATTTGAAACACAGAACAAATATTACTCCAATTAAGCTCCTAAACTAGATATTAAGAGTGACATCATGTACCCTCACTACTAAATTGCCTCCAACTACATAGTAATTTTGAAATCTGAGACATCTCTACACAGTTTCTCATCAGTAGAACCAGTATTTGTTATGCTAAAAGGATTTACTGCCCACACCTACAATTATCAAGAACAAAAGAAACCTTTAACTTTAAAATTTTATTAGAAAAATACATTTTTAATGGGTGTCTTACCTACCCCAACAAAAGCAGCTATTTTTTATAACAACATCATTTGTTCAAACTGTGCTAGCTCATGTGATTGAAACAGTTAAGATAGGAAAGAAAAGCATAAACAGAAAAGGTTGGGCTTTATAGTCCACAGTAGTAGTTTGTCAACTTGGAAAGATTAAATCCAAGAGCACATGAGCCAAGTTCTAGAAATTTAGGAGTCTGGCAGTCTTTCACATTTTCTGTGAAAAGGAAAATTCCAGTAGTGACTGCTAAGCTGGTGACTGATAACATATGCGGGTATGCGTGCTCACACATGCGCATGCGCCCTCTGGGGAGTAGGCCAGAAGGACGGGTCCCCTTCTCCTTTCTGAAGTAGAGGAGCTTAGATCATGAGCCTGGGTTCCCTTTAGTGTGATGCAGAAGATGTCATTGTGCCACTGGAACCTGCCATTGACAGTGGCCCTGCATCTTCCCCTCTGCGTGCCTTGCCCATGTCTCAGTCCACCTGTCCCCACCATCCTACTACAGAAAGTATTTAGGCAGCACAGTCCCTACTCCTCTCTCCTCTGGAACTCGTTCTCCTCCCTCTCTGAAACTGGCTGCCCCCTCTGAAACACAAAGTCCAGCCAGTTGTGCAGCATTGCTGCAAGGTGGTGGGAAGAGGTCAGGAGCAGCGCTGGCCCTGCTGGTTGTGCAGGGGTAGTTAATAAGTCCCACTTTCGAGCACTTACCATGTGCTGAGCTCTTTCCATGTGCCCACTCATTCAGTCCTCTAATGACCCCGTGAGGTGGGGGTGGGGGTCTCATTTAGAAACAAACTAAAACCTGGGAACACAGGGGGGCCTTTAGAAGATATCAGGAATGTAGGTGCAGTGTGTATGTACTCTGCTTTGCCATACCCTGGCTCAAGAAATTATTTTACAGCTGTCAAGAACGCCAAAAATTTGATGGCATATGACACTGGGGAAAGGAATTGTGTTAGTCCTTCAGTTACAATAATATCTGATGACACACTGCATCTTGATTTATCAGGGAGATGTCCAATTGTGCTCAGGAACTTGTTTATAAAATTGGTAAAGTATGCTGTTCACTTGAGATGGAAGCGAACATAACATGCAACTTTTGCTTTGGTACAGCTTTTTTTTTAAGCCAAGAATAATTAAACACACCTATGATCGCAGCTACTCAGGAGACTGAGGTCAGAGGGTCACAAGTTTGAGACTCACTTGAGCTACTCAGTGAGACCCTATCTCAGAATTTAAAAACATAATATACACTGACACCTGTGAACTAAGCAACTGCACTGAAGATGGAAATTTGTAATAGTAGGTTCATGCTTGGATTGCCTGCCATTCTGTTCTTCTGAATACAGGCTACTTGTCATGACATGCCAGTTGCTGCCATGTTCTCTCTTGGGTAGATGATTGTTCAATATGAAGGGGGTAGTGAATGAAGGCAGGAAACAGGAAGAGGAATGTTGTGGGTCTGTCCTGCTTCAAGGTTGTATATGGTTAGATTTCTGGACTTATATGTAAACATAAGAATTATATAATTTTAAGCCTATTTTTAAAATATATTTTAATTTTTAAATGTTTTTTCATCATATTCTGTAGGGACTTAAAGTTCACCATATTAATACTTGATGAAAAATACCTGTTCCATGTTATGCCTGAGATGTTTGATATTCAGAGACACAGTGAGCTTACGCTTAACAGCCTAGGTTGTATGGTAATAACAATAAGCTTCTCTTCTGGAGGGTTAACAACCTAAGTTTGCAGACCAAAATTAGAGAAAAAGGATGGTCGCAAGGAAAGCCAATATTTTGGCCCTGGCCTTCCAAGGTCAATTAAGACTCAGGATATATGAGAACTTGTACTGTAATGTCATGTAACTCAGTAGTGTCGCAAATTTTCTGATCAAGGAGATTATGGGGCCAAAGAGGAAAGTAATCAGTGATGTAGCGTGTGCCTAAGGAGAGTCACATGGAGAGAAAACATTCTCTCAGGCTTTCACAGAGAGCACATTGGCCAAGCAATGGCCATGACTCATCCACATGGCTGACACTGACAAAAGATCTACAATCTGAGGTATAGGCTCTCAGGATAAATCCTGAGGGGATTTGACTGACCTTATCAGACCCAAAAGCTACAACTCTTGTTGCATAGGTCTTGCTTTACCTTGGTCTTAACCATCCAGCAGAAAAGTATAAAAACAAAGTATAACAAGTAAAGCCATGCTGTAATGTTGAGCTGTAGGGGACTCAGGTCAACAATTTCTGACACTGCCAGTGAAGCAGAAGACCCAATACTATTATGGACTACTGGACTCTTTTAGTATATTTTGCTGAGTTAACACACCTATAATATTCAAATAATGGAACTAAACAAAAAAGGGGACACAGATGAATGTCCATTTTGTATCTGTGTATTCAAAATGGTTAGGATAGATGTATAGTTACATTCTCTTAATGAATAGAGGGACCTGTTCTAATAGCGTTTGTGAATAAGATATCATGTCTGCATCTTGTACAGCAAGTAACCACTAGGAAGAGAGTATGCAATGTGTTAATTATTGAAACTGTCCTACCAATTTGGTTTGAAACTGTCTCATTCTTATTTGTTTCTCAATAAAATTATGGAAAAAAACCTTTTTAAACCACTATTTAAAAAAAAGAATTTAAAAACATAAAGGACTAGAGAGGTCGCTGAGTGATAGAGTGCTTGCCTGACACATATGCCATCACCACAGTCACATAAACACACGCATGCACACACACACCCTACTTTTATTTGTAAATTTAACTTTTGTTGAAGTCTTTTGGAGTTTGATGTCGCTGAAATGAGGCTGTGTCATGAGGCGGTACTAGCCCGTGCTGTCCTGCTTTTCCTCACGTGTTCCTTATCTCTCCCCTTCCCTAGAAGTTAAGAAGTGTGCCTGTGCTTGAGAGAGAAAAATGAGGTTCAGAGACACGAGCAGTAGCCAATAAAATCGCCATTTGCTTTCATTTTCCTCCCAGAAGACAAATTGTACTTTTTTGTGGCTTGCCAGTAATGATATAAAATGTAATGTCACATTTATTTCTCTTGAGAATTTCCTGGACATCATAGGAAATGAAATAAACACATGTTTTGGGAGAGAGAAATATTTGTGTTCTTGTTGAACATGCATGAATGCACCGGCCATAACGAGCCCCTCTGATCTGGCTTTTCAGGATCCTGCACTGCACACTCATAATGCCGCTGCACTACCTCGAGCCTTTCTTCTCCTACATCTTCCTCAACCTGCAGTTGCTGATTCTCCAGGGCCTGCACTTCTACTGGGGCTATTTAATCCTGAAGATGATTAAAAGAAATATATTACAGAAGGTAAGCGATAGCCAAATGTTATTGCTTCTAGCAAGTAAACTTCACTGCCAGATTAAAGGCCAGGCCCAGACACTGAACACTCAAGTGAACTCATAGTTTTAAATATTTTCCCTCCTTGGTTTGATCTTTTTATTTTTAATGAATCTGAGATCAAACCTAGAGCCTGTTATTTTCCCGGCATGCACTCTACCACTGAGCTGTTGTCTGATGATTATTAAAGAAGATTTTCTCTATAATGTAGATTTTTAATAAACAGGTCTCTAAGGTACATCTAGAAAATTGTTTTTAGGGATTAAAGGTGTAGGCCAGTGGCACAACAGTTACCTAGTGTGCTCACTAGTCAGTCCCCAGGATTGGAAAAACAAAAAGGAGGAAGAGGAGAAAATGCCTTTTTTCAAATTGCTGTTTTGGGGAAAACTTTAATCCCTAAACTGATGGTTACTTTTTTAAAAACTCCCCTAATGAGTCAAAATATCCTCTAATTTATATGGGACTCGCTATATAATGATAGCTGAGTAACATTTTAGGGCCTTATGTTTACCTCTGGTGAACACCCGATTCGCACGTAGTGCTCTCTTCTTGAGATGATTTCTACCCTCTATAGTATTTTCCATCATTTGGCTATACTTTGTTTCTTTTCTTTTCTTTCCTTTTCTTTTCTTTTCTTTTTTTTTTTTTTTTTTGTATTTTAGAAAGGGTCTGCAGTGTCTGCAGGGTCTTACTACATAGATCAGACTTGTAGTGAACCGCCTGTGTTCAGCCTCCAAAGAGCTGGGATTACAGGCACACGCCACCATACCCAGTGTCAGTTGCCATCTCAGTGTGTCCTGGGGGTGGGGCCAGCATGGTGCACTGCCCCAGTCAATGCATCTGCCTAAGCAGGCTTTAATCCACTTGGCCAGCCCTTATATTTTGATTCTGAAAAATCTTATTTTCCTAAATATAGGCATGCATAATCACTTAGTAACAGGACACATTTAAAGATGCCTTGTTAGGGGATTTTGTCATTGTGTGACTGTTACAGAGTATGCTCAGCAAATCTAGATGGTATAGCCTAGGTCAGTGATAGTGAACCTTATAGAACCTTCAGTGATAACGAACAGCCCACTGTGGGATACATATAGATTTGCCACCACTGGCCACTATATGAAACACACCTGGGCTAGTGTATCCCAACACAAATATGTGTATCTATCACATATATATATATATATATATGTATATGTGTGAATATATGGTATAAACTATTATTCCAGGACCACAAGATTAGGTCAAACACAAGAGAAACTGATGCAATCAAGAGTGTGTGATGTATTAAATGGGGCTAAGGAGATAGCTTGGCAGTCTAAGAGCCTGCCTGGCAAGCACAAGGTCCTGAGTTTGGTCCCTGGTACTACATTGTATGCTGATCTAGAACCCCAGGCGTGCCATGTCAGCCCTGAAATCGGGTGTGGTGGTACACGCCTGTAATCCCAGTGCTGGGGAGGCTAAGACAGGAGGATCACAGTGAGTCCAAACTATGTAGTGAGACTCCGTATCCAAAACAAAAACAAAAACAAAAGCAGAGATGTGTTAAGCATGGGATGTTGATGCTGCTGCCTGAGTGCATAGGATCCCCTTGTACAATTCACTTTCTTAATGTTTAGGAAGATAGACACTAAAATAAGAGGTAAATTATGATAAGGACACAGACCAGTAGCTCCATCACTTGTCATCTAGTGCTGCATCCTGCCCTCGTTGTCTGTGGTGTCCTTTCATGCAAGCAGTGGTGCAGAAGGCTGTTTACGCTAGCATCTTCCCAAACATGACTGATGTGTTTTCCCACAAAGTTAGGATGACTATAGCCTTTGTGACAGTCTTTCAACTCCTTTACAATCATAAGGGCCCATCATCATATACAGTGTTCACACTGACTGAAAGGTGGCTGTGTAGCCCATAGCTATGGAAACAAACTGAGACAGTACAAGGCTTGTGTTTGTTTTGTTTTGAACTCAGTTCTGGACTTTAATTCCAGAGCAGGACTATAGAAATGAATAAGACATAATCACTGACTATTGAAATAGTCCATTATTAGATGAGAAATATGCACCTACTCACAGCTCACTATAATGTAGAATACTGAGGGGCAAATGGAGAGGAGATAAAAGAGAAATTCTGGCTGGCCAGATAATTTGGGCCAGCCAGATAGCTCAGCGGATTAAAGTGCCTGCTTAGTCCAAGGCAGGGACCGGGATTCAATCCCTGGCTTGCTGTGCCAGACTCACCCCCAGGTCGGGGTACACTGAGATGGAGATTGAGACTGGGTGTGGTGGCACACACCCGCAAAAAATCCCAGCACTTGGGAAGCTGAAAACAGGAGGATCACTAGAGTCCTATCTGCATAGTGAGACCCTGTAGACCTGTACTAAATACATTTTAAAAGAGAGAGAGAGAGAGAAATTCATTGATTCCAGGGGTCAAGGCAAGTTCCACTGAACAGTGGAATTTGAGTTACACATTTAAAGCAAGGAAAAAAATCACATTACATTCTTGTTTGTCTAAAAACACCAGAGAAAGTTTCAGGTGAGCATCTTTTTAAAAATTTTTTTATTTTGTCTATGTATTTGGTACAGGGTCTCACTATGAAGCTTGGACTCAGTGATCCTCCTGTTTCCAGGCTCCTCAGAGCTGGGATTACAGGCATGCACCATCACCCCCATCTTGGTGGGTGGCTCAGCGGGCAGGCCCATGCGGCATGTGGTAGCAGGGATCTAACCCTGGTCCCTGAGCTTGACTAAGTAGGCACTTAGTCCACTGAGCTAGCTTGTTGAGCCTTTTTGTTATTTATTTATCTGTGTATATCAGGTGAGCATCTTGCAACTGGTCCACTCTGGAAGTTACCACCTGGGCTTACATGTGATGACTAGGTTGGTGATTAGTTGACCAAGTCTATTTTTTAAGTCAAATCTCTCATTAATTCACTTTGCTACTGTTAATTGTGTCTCAGAGATCCCTGAAGAGCTGACAAATGAAGCAGAACCTGTAATAAGGAACCTCTGGCTGTTTTGCCATTTTTTTGCTTTCTGGTCCAGACAGTGGAATGGGAAACTGAGCAATTGCTGAGTGTTCTTCTAGTTACTGATACGAGGTTCTTTCATTGAGAGTTGATTCTCTTCCTTAAAGCTGGAGTGCCAAGAAGACTTCAATTGACTGGTTCTAGTTCATGAAAGTTCAAAATAGATTTTCTGTGATCTTTGAAAATAGTTACCTTAACAATAAGTGACGGACAAAGCCAGAGTAACCAAGAGGAGGTTAAGTATTGGAGCCATAAAACAATTTGCACGTCCCATAAGTGGTGTACAGGGAGGGCTCTAATCTGATCGTGTGGTTCCACTGGGTCGAGCCTTTTGGACCTCCCATCCCCACATAGCAGCTGTCCCCTGATTAGCTGGCAAGTGACGGCAATTTTGAGCCTGGAAGGGATCCAGGGAGGACACGGCTTGGAAGCCATTCAGCATCCTTATTTAGGTTCATGTGATTTTCACATTTCTGGCCTCTAATGTGTTGTGCCAGTTCTGATTAGAAAGCCAGCGTGCTGGTGAGCTGTGGACAAGCATCCCTGATTTTTCATGCTGTGTTTTGGAAAAGCTGTTTCCAATTGCAATTTGACAGCAGTGCGGAGGCCCCTGCAGCCCCATCCCTGCAGTCCAGTGGCTTCAGCTAGCTCGCGTGTGCACCATTTTCCACAGCAGTGGCAAAACTGGCTGTGAAACCAGCTTATCCCTCCAAAGCCATAAAGCCGCCTTTTAAAGAATGGTATTTGAAGGCACAGTTGCATTTCAGAGAAGAGGAGAGGAACAGCAGCAGGAGATGAAATTCTTAAAGCAACAAGCAAATAAGTTCTCAACCCTATTTAAAAGTGTTTAGCATTTAATGTAACTTCAGTTGTTACTAACGAGACTAGTTCTTGGTTGCTATAACAATAGAAGTGCAGTTCATAGACTTCTACATTTATTTTATCCTTCCAACAGATTGAGAATTTCCCCTTTAACTCCTTACACATGAAAGGGCCTCAGTACATAATTTGAATATGCAAATGATAATTTGGGAAAACAGACCACACTGTTTTGAGTGGAAAATTATAAAATTATTATCAGCTTTGATCTCCATGAATTTACATGACACACTAAAGAGAAGAAAACTACTATACTTTTTCACTTTTTTTTTTTTTTCAGTACTAGGGTTTGAACTCAGGACCCTGTGCTTGCCAGGCAGGTGCTTACTCGACTGAGCTATTTCCCCAGCCCATATACTTTTTAAAACTAGCAGTTTCTTTGCAATAATTGCATCTTGTTTTCTCTAAACAACAAAGTTCTTGTGGAACTATTAGAAATAGGGCCTTCCATGGTTTGCTTTTGTTCTTTAATATTGTAAAAACTGAAGGCATGATTACATGATGAAGAAAAGAAGAAATTCTTAGAGGAAAAAGTTAATCAGCTTTCAGTTCTACTTAAGACGTGCTTTAAAAAAAAAAAAGTGAAGGGGCTGGGGAGATGGCTCAGTGGAATAAGTGCTTCCCTGGCAAGCGCAAAGGTCTGAGTTCAATCTCCGGTTCTGCCAAAAAAACAAAAAGAAGTCTTTAGCTTTTAATGCACCTTCATCTGTTCCCAAGCACACCCCACCTACTGCCTCCCAGTCCTCACGTGTAAGCTGGGGATAACGATGTGGTCTCAAGATGCAGTCCTTGCATTCCCAGCCATCCTGCTGCCTGAGTGTAGGGCTTGGTGCTGAACCCCACGGATGCTGTATAGTGGGTTATGTTGTGATGAGCCACCAACCAATACGTCCCATCAGAAGACAGGACAGACTGACATCCGCATCTTGTCTTCTTTGCACACATAAGAGGTGCTTTTAGAGAAGAGGAGGAGAAACATAGGACGCTTTCGTTTAATGATACTTAAGATCACTTTTTTTTTTTTTTTTTTTTTTTTTTTTAAGACAGGGTGTACAGGGTGTTCAGG